GGAACGAGCACAATTAGAAATGAGCACGATTAGAAGTGAACGACGTGTAGATGAGGTCGGGGGATCGCGCCGCGATTCCGATGCGTCGACGATGCGGCTCGATGTGGAACCCGTGCTTCCCCACGCCGACGTCGCCGACGTATCGCCGACGTCGCCGAGGCATCGCCGACGCATCGGCGACGTATCGCCGATGTGTCGCCCATGCGGCGCGATCCTCCGACCCCATCTGCTCGGACCCCATCTAGGATGCCCCTAGTCTTCCGTCGAGGAACACTGGGAGGCATGAGCATCAACCTTCGGAGGTCCGCGCGGATTTTTTGGGCCGGCGCCGCCCCGCCGCCCCCCTCCTTGGCGGCGCTTCCCCCGGGCTTCGCAGGGTGCCGAGGAGAGGCCCGTCGGATTTGCTTTCGGATCCATCACCTCCGCAGACGCTAACGGCGATGCAGGTAGCAGCGATGTAGGTTTCGGTGTTGTAGGTGTTGGGAGGGGGGTTCGTGGCCGACCCAGCTGTAGGAAGGCGCCGTTCGTGTCTTCCTGCACTCTGTGCTGCGCGAGTTTTCGGCGCCGCAGGAGCCCCAGTCCCAACCTCGCCGTTGACCAACACATTGCCGATAGCGTGGCCCTGGCACCTATCAGGACTGCGTGCAGCCTCGGCTGGATTTCAAGGGCAAGGGTCCTGGTTGATGGGCCTGTTTACCACCACCACCCTAAGTTGGAGGGGGGAAGGAGGTGGAGGAGGAGGAGGAGGAGGAGGAGGAGGAGGAGGAGGAGGAGGAGGAGGAGGAGACGAGGAGGTGAGGAGGGGGAGGGAGGAGGAGGAGGAGGGGGAGGGGGGAGAGGAAGGGGGGGAGGGGAGGAGGAGGAGGAGGAGGAGGAGGAGGACGAGGAGGAGGAGGAGGAGGAGGAGGAGGGGGAGGAGGAGGAGGACCCCCTCCCCCTCCAACTTGTGGTGGCGGTGGTGGAAAGCAAGCCCATCACTGGCGCTGCTGTTCTGGCCTCTCCGGATCAGGGCAGGGTTCAGCGCCGACCCTTATTACGCGCGTCGTCCAAGAGAGCCCTCGCGGACCTCCGAGAATTCTTCTCCAAACAGGCTCGCCGTAAAACACCAGCCCCGGGGAAGTGATCCAGACTTCTGGGGCCTACGCATCGAAAACATTGGAGCGGCCGGACGTCTGGGTCCCGAAACGCTAGGCCAGCGTTTCTTAACCTACTTGTCGGAAAGCCGGTCGTTTCTTGAGCACGTTCGCCCTCCAGCGTCAGCCACAGAAATGGGTCCAGGCTTCTGTTAAGAAGTTTCCAGGAAGTTGGCCCAGATTCATCGAATGATCATTTTCTTGATCCCGAGATCCCTCGAGAACCCTCTGATCTCGGCGTCGCGAAACAACGCGGGCCATTGTCGGCCTTGTGGGGACCCTCACCAGGGCTAGGTGCCGTCAAGAGAGTGCCCGGGACGAACCGCCAGTCCCGTGAGGGGGTCGAGACCTGCGGCGAATGCAGTTGGGAAGATGCATACCGGAAGAGCTGAAAGTAAGCGTGTCCATACGAAGACTTTGCAGTCAGCTCCTCAACGGATACGTCTGCCTGCGGCTGCATGCACGCCCCTGCTGGAGGGGCTCTGAAAACAATCGCGTGCTGCATTGTCCCCTGCCTCGTGCTTCGACGTATCTGCTTCTGTCTTGTCGGAGCTCGAATCCAGATGTAATCCGCCCGTCCGTGAGGGGGTCGAGGCCTTCGGGGGTTCACGTCGTGAGAACGTCGCGACGTCGGGGGTCCGGGTCGTGGAGCAGAGGCCCTCGTGGAGGTCGTGCCCTTCGTGCCCTCGTCTTTGGCGGTGTTCGGTCAGAGGGGGAAAACGTACCCATACCGCTACAGTGCCGTTTTTAATGCATGCTCCGCGTGCGGATCATGTATTAAAGATGCAGGGATTTAGTATTAAAATCAACGATGAGTTCATGCATGCATGCATTTATTCATACATTAACCATGTATTACAAATCCTCAGTTTAAACATCCAATGTATTACAAACTGCCCTGTACCCTTCCCTCGTTTTCCTTTTTTGGGGCTTACTGGAAGGTCATCGTCGCCACCGCTGGATTCTCCTCGACATCCTCGTCAGAACGCGCCTTCAGGTTTCCCCATTCGGGGCGTTTGTGGAGTTTCTTCTCGCCACGGCTGGACGCGGCTCGGACAGAAGGCCAGGATGGATTCGGGGAGGGGTGCAGGGATGGGTTTTGAACGGATTCTAGAGACTCGGTCACGGGCCTTGACCTCTTGGCGACTCAACCAAATTTTGATCTTTGATCCTGGTGCCGTCTTTCGGCCTCAGGGCCTCTCGTTCTGGGGTCAAGTAAGCGATTCCTTGGCGATCCGACCCGATCCGATTCCGCGATTCGATCCAACGCTGGCCTGCCTGCAAGGGGTAGGGGCTTACATGTGGCTGCCTGGGGCATAGGGCTGCCCTCCTCCCGCCCTCATGTCCCCGCTCGTTGCCGCCGGCAGGACACCATCGAGCGCGAGGAGCTGATCATCTCGCGGCTCGCTCTGGAAGGCGCCCAGACCGACCCCACGCGCCCAGATGTCCCCAGACATATTCCACCGCCTCCTCCTCCTCCTCCTCCTCCTCCTCCTCTTCCCCCCCTCCCCGTCTTCCTCCTCCTCCTCCTCCTCTCCTCCTCCCCTCTCCTCTCCTCCTCCTCCCCTCCTCCTCTCCTCCTCCTCCTCCTCCTCCTCCTCCTCTCCCTCCTCCTCCTCCTCGCTTCCTCCTCCTCCTCCTCCTCCTCCTCCTCGTCGCCGCAGAGGCGCCCACGCGCACCACCACCCCAACCTGCGGCTTCGGCCGCCGCCCGCGCCGCCCGAGCCGCTGGTGGGCTTCGAGCCGGTCTCGCCCCACAGGCGGGCGGTGTCGCAGCTCCTCGCCGCCGTCGCCGTCGCCGTCGCCGTCGCCGTCGCCGTCGCCGTCGCCGTCGTTGTCGTCGTCGCCGTCGTCGTCGTCGTCGTCGTCGTCGTCGTCGTCTGTGTCGTCGTCGTCTCTGTCATCGTCGTCGTCGTCGTCGTCGTCGTCGTCTTTCTCGTCGCTCGTCGCTCGTCGCTCGTTGTCATCGTCGTCATCGTCGTCGTCGTCGTCGCTTGTCGCTCGTCGCCGCAGCTCCTCGTTGTTGTGATCGTCGCAGCTCGTCGCCATTGTGTTCGTCATGGTCGTCATAGTGGTCGCGGTGGCGGTCATGGCGTTTGCCGTCGTCGCCAGAGCAGGGAGGAGGAGGAGGAAGAGGAGGAGGAGGAGGAGGAGGAGGGGGAGGAGGAGGAGGAGGACCAGTGTAAACCCCAGAGTCATCAACGAATAAACCCTCCCTCCAAGCTCCCTCTTCACAGGACCCTACAACGGTTCATTCCCATTGAAGGAATTGCCTCTTTGGAAGACAACCGCTTGAAGACCCTGAAGCATGCCAAAACATTATTCTCGGGATTCCAACGCCACGGATCAACCTGACTTTTGCGTCTTGACAATCCAGAATCGTGCCAGAACACCGTTCCTGGGACTTCAACTCCACGAATCAACATAACTGTTGCACCCGCATAATTCTGAATCCTTTCAAAACGCAGTTTCTGACACGTTGATGATGAGAATCCGTGAAACGGTTGTTATTTTTTACAGCGAATATGCACCGCGCTAAGGCGAGATCCACATTTTGAAAAGGAACCGCCCTCAATCCGTGAAACTCGTGCAAATGTTTGAAACGAATGTGCGCCGCGCTGAGGCGAGAGCCACATTTTGAAAACCACCCGCCCTCAATCCGTGAAGTTCTTGCCTTTTTTATTAACGAATTTGCGCGGCGCTAAGGCGAGAGCCACACTTTGAAAGCAACCCGCCCTCCATTTTTGTTTGTGCAATTTTTCAAAACGAATGTGCGCCGCGCTGAGGCGGGGGCCACATTTTGAAAACGGCCCGCCCTGCATCAGTGAAATTGTTGCCAATCTTTAAGCTTCAGAGTCATACATGGTGAGGAAGTCTCAGGCGAAACGCGCGGCCCGCCCTAAAAACTGGCCTCGGGGTGCGACAGGGAGAAGTTATCTATAAGGGAAAGGAATGGAGGTTGAGGTTGAGGAGGAGGAGGTGGAGGAGGAGGAGGAGGATGAGGAGGAGGAGGAGGAGTGTGGAAGGAGGAGGAGGAGGCGGAGGAGGAGGAGGAGGAAGAGGAGGAGGACGAGGAGGAGGAGGAGGTGGGAGAGGATGAGGCAGAGAGGATGACGAGGAGGGGGAGGTCGCTGGAGGGGGTTGGAGGAGATTAGAGGGGGTGTAGGAGGAGGAGGGGGGGTTGCAGGAGGCGCCGCTGATGTTCGCCTTCGCCTAACGTCAGAAAAGTGGAGGTCTATCTGGCAAGTTTTGCTTCCGCCCCAGATCCGGCGGTGTCTGGTGGCCCGAAGCGTCCAAACACGCTCAAATTCTTGCCAAGGCCATTCAAGGCCCTTCCTCCTCGATCCCCGAAGGTCGAGGGCGAAACGTCGCGGGAGGATCGGGGATCGCGGTTTCCGGACGCTTCCCGGCTTTCTGTTGAGCCTCCAGAAGGCTCCCTGGAGCTTCTCGCCATGAAGCAAAAGGGTCCTGAGTCCTGAGCCCCTGGGCTCACCCCGAGACCACCTCTTCATCTCGAGTGGTCTTTTACGGTCGCGGGGCCCGTGCGGGGTCCGTGGAGGGCCCCGGGAGCCCGAGCAAGCGGTGAAACACATGTCCAGGACCCCTCTCCCTCAGGACCTTCTCCTCATGGCGACCTCTGGCCAGGGAGTACAAAGAAATGCCCTTCGAGGAGGAGGAGGAGGAGGAGGGGGAGGAGGAGGAGGAGGCGGAGGAGGAGGAGAAGGAGGAGGAGGAGAAGGAGGAGGGGGAGGAGGAGGGGGAGGGGGAGGGGGAGGAGGTGGAGGAGGAGAGGCGAGGGAAGGAGGAGGAGGAGGAGGAGGCGAGGAGGAGGGGGAGGAGGAGGAGGAGGAGGAGAGGAAGATGAGGAGGAGGAGGAGGAGGAGGCGGAGGAGGAGGAGGAGGAGGAGGAGGAGGAGGAGGAGGAGGAGGAGGAAGGAGGAGGAGGAGGAGGAGGAGGAGGGGAAGAGGAGGGGGAGGGGTTGGTTGGTTGGTTGGTTGGTTGGTTGGTTGGTTGGTGGTGCTCCTATTGAGCCGGCATTTTGGAGTTTCGGACGCAGCTCCCTTTCAGCATTGCGCCACGGCCTGGTGGGGGGCTTGGAAGCGTCCGTGATGCGACGGCCCTGGAAGCCAAGCCACCAGCGCTGGAGGGGACGAGAGGGGAGCTGTCGGAGCTCCGACGGCGGAGACGGAACCCGGAGAAACAAGGAACCTCGGGCCCCGCAGCCGAAGGGCCCACAGGCAGGCCCCAAGAGAAACCGGCCAGAACCCAAACCCCTGCCGAAAAACCGCCCCGACATACTCCGACTCTCCACCCCCGGCCAGTCGTCAAGCGAGAGAGGCAACTCAGTTGACTCCCCGCGGTGCGGGGGGGGCCGGGCAGGGGGGATCATGCCCAGGGCTCGCCCGATCCCTCATACGCTGTCATGTCGACGCACGACGCAGGTGCGGGACGGCGACAGGAGGGGGGGAGAGGAAGCCACCCCTAGGGAGAGGAGGAGAGAGGAGGGATAGAGGACCCTGTCCGACCCGACCACCCTCCTGGGAACCCAGGCGGGATGGAGGGAGGGCAGGTGTGAACTGTTCCCTGCGGCCGCCCAGAAACGATCCACCTCCCTCTCGACAGAAAGCGCCAGCAGGGCCGCCTGCTCGTACCCACCATCCGTCGGGCCTGCGGAAAGGACCGCTGCAGCCGCCGCCTCCGCGGAGGAAGGGGCCGGGCCCCCTTAGGCCTCCAAGAAAGTGCGCCGGGGGAGCTCCGTGCGAGAGCACAGCCCGAGAAAATGGAACGTGGGACTCAGGGTCTGCATGCCGCACAGGACGTAGGACTGCCTCCGCGCCGTAGAAACGCTGCCAGAAGAGTGGCTGAGGGCCACAAGCCGCCCTCGTAGCCTGCTCAGCGAGCGTTGGCCCATCTGGGGAGGAGGAGGAGGAGGAGGAGGAGGAGGAGGAGGAGGAGGAGGAGGAGGAGGAGGAGGAGGAGGAGAGGAGGAGGAGGAGGAGGAGGAGGAGGAGGGGAGGAGGAGGTAGGAGGAGGGAGGAGGAGGGAGGAGAGGAGGAGGAGGGAGGAGGAGGAGGAGGAGGAGGAGGCGGAGGAGGCGGAGGAGGCGGAGGAGGAGGAGGAGGAGGAGGAGGAGGAAGAAGAAGACGAATAAGAAACAGAAGACACAGAAGAAGGAGGAGGAGGAGGACAATGATATTACTAATAGCAAGAATAAGAATACTATTACTAATCATACGAATAAGAATAATACTAGGAAGAATAATACTAATAACACTATTTATAAGAAACCGAAGAATAATACTACGACTAGGAAGAAGACTAATAATACTACGAAAAGTAATACTAATAATAGTAATACTAATGATAATACTAGTAATCATAGTAATACGACTAATAATACGAATAATAATACTATTAATAATATGAAGAAGAGTAATAAGACTAACAATACGAACAATAATAATAATAACAATCAGAAGCATAAAATTATTATTATTATTTTTATTACTATTATTATTACTATTAATAATAATAATATTATTACTAACAATAACAATAATAATAATAACAATATTATGAATAATAATAATAGTAATAATAATAATACTACTAATAATAATACTACTAATAATAAGAATAAAAATAATAATAATAGTAATAATAGTAATAATAGTAATAACAATAATAATAATAATAATAATAATAATAATAATAATAGTAATAATAATAATATTCATAATCATAATAATAATACTAATAGTAATACGACTAATAATACTACTAATACTAATACGAAGAAGAAGAATACTAATACTATGAAGAATAATAAGAATAAGAGGAGGAGGAGGAGGAAGAGGAGGAGGAGGAGGAGGAGGTTGAGGAGGAGGAGGAGGAAGAAGAGGAGGAGGAGGAGGAGGAAGAGGAGGAGGAGGAGCGGAGCGGAGCATCGAGGATCCGTCCGACGGGCGAACAGACCACGGCGACTGGACGACCTCGTCGCCGCCCACACGCCCGCCCGCAGGGGGAGCGTGGGAGACGACGGGACCGTCCACGGGGGCTGGACGAACTCATCGCCTCCCACACGCCCGCCCGTAGGGGTACGCCCTGGGAGGCGACGAGCCCGTCCAGCGGGCGGGCCTCAGATGAGCTCGCCAAGGAGGCCCTCCACGCCAGGGACGACGAGGAGGGAGCCGAGGTGCGCGCCGAAGTCGAGCACCGCGTTGCGCGGGAGGGCCACCGTCCCCGACGGCCGGCCCCCCGCGCCGCCCCGGAGCGCGGGCCCCCGGCCCTCGTCGGCCCGACCACCTCCTCCACGCGGCGGCGGAGCTCCTCGAGGACCGCCTCGAGCTCGTCGGGGCGGGTGGGGATCGAGCCCCAGTCGGCTGGCAGGCCGAGGCTCCAGCGGAGGGAGGCGACGCGCGCCCGCGCGGAGCGGAGCAGGTCGTCCTTGCCCTTGCCGTCGTCCTTGCCCTTGCCTCGGCCCGCGCTGGAGGGCGGGCCGCGATCGGCCGTCCGCGGCGGCTGCACCACCACGGGGAGCTCGTCGGCCCAGGCGTCGTCGATGACGTCCTCCAGCATCGGCACGGGCAGCGCGGCCGCCACCTGCGCCGCGCCTCCCGCCGTCCCAGCCTCCGTCGTCATGCCGTCGGCGCCGAGGCCGTGCATGGCCACCCCAGCCGCTCCCGCCGCTCCGCCGCGGCCGCGAGGCCGACGCCGGTGCCTCCGAGTGGCAGCCGTGGGCTCCGCTGGCGGCGCCGCCGCGGGCGCAGGTGCGGTGGGCTTGGCCAGCACGGCCACCGCCGTGCGCAGCAGACCTTCAGCGGCGCGTGCGAGACGCGCAGCATCTCGGAGCCCAGCGCCGCTGGCGAGCCCAGCAGCAGCGTGCACCGCCAGTACCGCGCCCCGCGCGGCCTCCAGCGTCGCAGCAGCGCTGGCGTCCGTCGTCGGCGGCATCGGCGACACAGCGGGAAGGCGGGCCGACCCAGCGAGGCGAAGCTTGAGCCAAGATGCCAACTAAAGAGGAGGAGGAGGAGGAGGAGGAGGAGGAGGAGGAGGAGGAGGAGGAGGAGGAGGAGAGGAGGAGGAGGACGAGGACGAGGAGACGGAGGAGGAGGAGGAGGAGGAGGAGGAGGAGGAGGAGGAGGAGGAGGAGTCCACCAGAGGTGCGTGCTGAGGAGAGCTTCAAGGGTAATCCAGCCGCGGCGACGAGAATCTTCCCGAAGGCTCAAACAGGTCTTGCAGGCGTCCACAACGAGGTCGATTTTCTTGAAGTCCGATCCCAGAAGCCCGAGAACGGCGAAGCACTCCTAAGACCCCTTGCCTTCTCCTCCTCCTCCTCCTCCTCCTCCTCCTCCTCCTCCAGGATTCGTTTTTTGAATTGTCTCCCCTAGGAGGTTGAATTCAGCATCGGCGCCATACTGTCCGTGGCAGTAGTCAGGCCCGGTCCGGCTCACGGTCAGGAATTTCGGCTCAGTGTGTTGCTCCGCCTGTTCTGGCCCACCACGCTTCAGCGCGACACGCCATCCGCTTTCCAGTCCCCAGGCGTCCACGTTCCGAGCTGTTCCCAGCCTCTCGCCCCGCGGTGCGGAGCGACACGCTATCAGCTCGCAGGGCATAGCGTGTCGCCAGGGCCGCCGCCGCGACACGCTGAGCACGAGTTCCCAACCGTAATCTCACGTTTGATTCTGCCCATCCACGCGCAATCCGGCTGACTCTCGCCTGATCCTTCGAGTAGGGGATTGATTACAACATTGATTTACCCCAAACTTGCCTTGTCGTCGAATCCAGGGAAGATGCGACTTCTTCTAGATATATTATAGATAGATCGACGAGAAAAGTCAAGCTTGGGGTGCAATTCTGTAGTCGATCCCCTACTCGAGTCCTGAGCTCAATCTACGCAGGCTTCCCTGGCTCACTGGCCCCTCAATCGGTTTCAGTAGCCCACCATCGCTCCGACGAGTTGACCTTCCAGGAGCCGCCTCTCCAAACTCAGACGTCCGCTGTCTTGGCTTCTTCAGTACGTCGGCCCCAGGAAGCCCCAGCCCTCTTGTTTTCAGTTCGGTTGTTCTCGTCCTTGTCCTCGACCGCGCCGTCGTCCTCGTCCTCGTCCTCGCGGTGAGGGCCCGCCCAGAGGCCTCCAAGAAGAGCGACGGGGATTTCGTGGCCGTCTCCGTCGTCCCCTAAGGCTGTCGTCCTCGTCCTCATTTTTCCCCTCGTCCTCGTCCTCGTCCTCGTCGTCGTCGTCGTCGTCGTCGTCGTCGTCGTCGTCGTCGTCCTCGTCGTCGTCGTCGTCGTCGTCGTCGTCGTCGTCGTCGTCGTCGTCGTCGGCGTGCTTCTGCCACGGCGCGAGCATGTCTAAGGAGCGTTCCCTCCGCGCCAGGGCTCCGGAGCCCGCCGCGCACCCTCCTCCTCCTCCTCCTCCTCCTCCTCCTCCTCCTCCTCCTCCTCCTCCTTCCGCCTCCCCCTCCTCCACCTCCTCCTCCTCCTCCTCCTCCTCCTCCTCCTCCTCCTCAACCTCCTCCTCCTCCTCCTCCTCCTCCTCCTTCTCCTCCTCCTGCTCCCTGGCACAGGTGGACGGTGTCGCAGCTCGACGGCTTGCTCGACGCGGTGGCGGGCGCCGCCGCCTCGGCGGCGCCTGGCGGCAGGACCCCCGTCGGGGGGAGCGTCGCGTCGGCCCCAGACCCCGTGGAGTCATGCAAAACGCGTGACGGAAGGTTTTTCGCAGTCTTTCAGCCTCTCGGGGCCCTTGCCGGGCCTCGGGACCGTCAACACAGCAGAGCGACTCAGGATGAGAAGCCGGTCCAGGGGAAGGGGTCCAGACCTCTGGGGGTCGGCGTTGCAAGAGAATCACGACTTCGGGGGTCTGGGGTGGCCCGAAGACGGTGTGGTGTCGCTTCGAAGCGTGGTGGGCCAGAACGAGCGCGGAGCGACACGCTAAGGCAAATTTTCTCCCTGAGATCCTGGCGTTGCGATTTTTTTGTACCAGGCGTTTTCGCCCAAATTCGGGCTCCGAGACCCTCACAGGTCGGTCCGGCTTGGGAAATGACGCAGAAAGATTGGGTTTGGGGCTCTGGGTCGTGATTTTTCGCGACGTCGCAATTTTTTCGCAGCGTCGGATCTCAGGGCTGACCGTGGGGTTAAGTCGGGCATGTCCCTCTACAGGAGGAGTATCCAAACTTGGTCAACAATGGTATGGGGGCGAGTTTTTAGCACAAACAAGGAAATTATGTTTGACTATTTCTATGTTCCGCCTTTTTGTTTTTTTGTTGTTTTTTTTCCGAAATCCGCCTGTAACGTGCCCGACCTAACCGCAGGGGGCCACGGGGACGCCAGCTCCGAGCGTGCCGGCCAGTGCTGAGGGTGCCCCCGTGGGTCTGCACCAAAAGGGTCACTCCGGCGAGGTGTCCCGTCGGTGCCCCGAGGCCGAAGTGGTGGCGCTGCCGCCTCGTTCCCCCCATCAGCCAGGAGGAGGGGGGCGGGGTCCACAGCTCCCCCGAGCCGTGGAGAACCTGCTGGCAGCACCGCGGCGAGCCTTCAGAGAAAGGAAGGCCACCCCTTTCTGTCGTCGTCCTCCTCGTCGTCCCCCTTTCCTCGTCCCCCTCGTCCTCCTCCTCGTCCTCCTCCTCGTCCTCCTCCTCGTCCTCCACCTCCTCTTCCTCCTCTGGCCTCGGAACCCCCAGCGACCTCACGGCGCGGTCCGTCACCGCACTGTTGCGGGGCCTCGGAGGCCCCAGTCGCCCGAGACGTCCTCGGAGAACGGCCCGAGTCCCAACACCTCGCGGCGACCCCGAATTCCCGTGGACTCACCACGCCGTGTGGTCACGACACCGCTGGGGGGGCCAGAGATCGTCTTCCTTCAAGGGCGCCCTCGAGGGCGCGAAGTTATTCGCGCTTCGCGCTTCGCGGTTCGGCTCCGATTCCTCCTCCTCCTCATCTTCTCCCCTGGGAGGCGGCGCGAGAGCGCGAAGCTATTCGCACTTTGCGCTTCGCGGAGCGCGAAGCGCGAAGTTGGGAGCCCTTGTTTCTTTCTCTTGGCGGCGGCGCAGCTTGCTGCTGCATGCCGGTGCTACCACTCTTGCTTCGTCGTTGCCCTTTCGGGCCCGCGTCGCCACCGCTGGATTTGCCTCGGAATTCTGGTCAGATTTCACCCTGGGGGAGCGATGCTGTCGCTTCCAGTTCCTACTTGTCTAGTTTTGGCTTCCACAGTTCCAGCTCTGCTTCTGGCCTCTTGGGCCCCTCGCACCGTCAAGGAAACGGCTCGGGATGAGAAGCCGGCCCCAGGGAGAAGGACAGCAATCAGGACATCGGATGTCTGGGGTGGACGCTCGGATCGACGAGCGCAGCCCTGTGTGCTCCTCCCTCGGAGCCCAAATAGCCATCGCCCTGGCCTGGCAACCTCTCTCAAGCGCCCAGGGCGGTTCATCCAGTTCCCTGGATCGGGGCTCGGTGCTTGATCGGGCTCCGCGGCCGCCGCTGCGGCCATCTTCCTTCTTTAGCGCCGTTCCCCACCTGGACGCTCGCTCGCTCGCTCGCTCCTCCCCGGCAAGCTTCTTTGGGGGGGTACAGGCTTCTCACGGGCTTGGGAGCCGAGAGCCTGGCTGCACTGTGTGCCGCAGGTGCCCTGCGCAGGCCAGGACCGCCGCCCAGGACGTCCTCTGACCACCGAGCCCTGGTAGAAGAAGAACACGTGTGATAAAAAACAAGTGTGATACAAATACCACATGTGATACAACACAAGTGCGGTAAAACACACAAGCGTGATGAACATCAAGTGTGATGAGCAGCAAGTGATGAGCAGCTTGTTCGATGTTGTCCGTCCGCTCTCCAGGCCAGTCGAGCCGGGATGGCTTTCGGACCACGGAGCCGGTCCTGGGGCGCAGAGTGGGGCGCCTTCGGTGTGCGCCTCTGCCTGCATCTTCTTCACGCTGCTGGAGGTGTTCGGTGGGCCTCTGCGGGCGAAGCGCGAGCCCTCTCGGCACCCAGGGGGACGTCTCGAGAAGGCTACCCCAGTCGAGCGGCCCTTGCAGTGCCCGTGCGGCGCTTGCGGTGGCTTCTGGCCCTGGGCCCGAGTTGGCTTGTTCGGGAGCTGTGTGTCCTGGGCACCGTGGTGACGCTTCTCTGGAAGCGCGGCAGGACGAAGATGTCCTTTCGGCGCTTGGTCGCAGAATGGGGCGCAAATGCCCGTTCATATCTTGTTGGCGCTGCTGTGGCGATTACTCCCTGAGGTTGGGGCCTCTGTTAGAAGGGCTCCTGCAAAGGGCATCCCGTCAAGGGTCGCAAGTTTGCCTTGGGCACGGTCGGTTCGCGTCGTGTCTACGGGCGGCGACCCCGCCGCCGGCGCTCAACGTTGAGCGCCGCCAGCGGCCAAGAATCGGTCGATGTTGATCGATCCGACGTTTCGGAAACAATCCCCACGGTATCAGGAGCAATCCCCGCGGTGGCAGGAACCAGCGCCGAAGTCGGCACGACACGACCCCGCAGTACACTTCTCGAGGGTAATCTTAAGTCGGGCCTGTCCCTCTACAGGGGGACTATTCAAAAATAGTCAACAAGTAGTCTGGGAACTATTTTCAGAATCCCTTATGACTATTTCGTAGTTTCTCTTGAGTATCTTTACTTTTTCATCCAAAGTCCGCCTGCAGGAGGACAGGCCCGACTTAAACCTGGACGTTTCTGTTGGCCGCCTCGCGCCTCTAGGATGCACCGGCTGCTTTCCCGCCAGAGATTTGCGGGGACTTCTAGACGAAGGGCGACGTTTGAGGGTCGGGGATCGACGGGCCGGTCTAGGACGAGGATGAATCGTCCCAGAGCGCTCCAGAACGCTTTCAGAACGTTCAGGAGCACTCTAACGGCCGCGGCGACCGACACATCGTTCAGAACTGCCAGGTTTAAGTCGGGCACGTCCCTCTACAGGAGGTTATCTAAAAATAGTCAAAAAATAATCAGGGGACGATTCTTCGACTATCTTTGATTATTCTGGTGTATATTTTTGACTATTATTCAACGTTCTTCCGAAATCCGCCTGTCGGAGGACATGCCTGACCTAACGCCAGGTCGCAGAGGTCCCCGATTTGTGCCAGTTCGATTTTGCCCTGGTCCTGGTCTCATTCCAACCGAGGTTTTTGAGCGTTTTTCATCACCCAACAAACCACCTCAACCCAACCCGAAGGCCCCGATTTGCCCTTCATGTACAGTGTGCGGGGGTCAGGAGACATGGGACATGCACACGTGAAGCCCGTACCCCCCCCAACCCGAAATCTGGGCCTTCGGGCTGGGCCTTGGGGTGGCCTGGTAGCTATAGTCAGCTCTTGGGCTTTTTTATGAGGTCTCCTGGGCTTTTCGAAGGATTGCAAAAAACGAAGGATTGCAAAACAACCCTGAACGAAGGATTGCAAAACAACCTTCGAAGGTTTTTTTGCAATCCTAGGTTTTTTTGCAATCCTTCGAAGGTTTTTTTTGCAATCCTTCGGGCTTTTGGGCTTTTGGTCTTCTGGTCAGTCCGTCCTTCGGCTTGTGAGGAGGTCTCCCGGGCACGCGCTCGCGGCCTCGCGTCGGCCGTCTGCCCCCATCGGGCGTCCCGGGTCGGAGCGGGTCGGCCCTGCGGCCCACACCCGACACGGGCGTCGGCGTCGTCGTCGGCGTCGTCGTCGTCGTCGTCGTCGTCGTCGGCGTCGTCGTCGTCGTCGTCGTCGTCGTCGTCGTCGTCGTCGTCGTCGTCGGCGTCGGCGTCGTCGTCGGCGTGGTTGTCGTTGTTCTCGGCGTCGTCGTCGTCGTCTTCTTCTGCGAGGCTCCTGTGGGGGCTTGTGGGCCTCGTCGTTTCGTGGCTGGCCGCGGCTAAAGAGAAGCCGGCCGGGAGGGACCCGGGGAGGAGCCCGGGAAGAGGCTTCTTTGAGTGGGTCTTGGCCTCGCCGCTCTCCTTGAAGCAGTGGCGAAGTCTCCTGGCTCGCCTATGGGCTCACCAGATAATGTTCTAAGAACCCTCTGTGGTCTGCACGAAATGTTCTTAGAACATTTCTGGCTGAGTCTATCTTGTTTCACATCGGGTTTGTGTCCTGAGAACATTGTTCTTGCTCTTAGAACATCTCTGGGTTCTAAGAACGTGTCGTGGTAAGCCTATAGGAATGCCGGGACGGTCGGTCCCTGCTCCACTCCTCCCCATCCGGCGCCCTGAACGCGTCGCGCGGGAGGCTTTTCGCCGCTCGGCCGCTGGATGCCGCTCTCCCGGCCTCTGTGGACCGACCGTCGAGGAGCGATCCGGGACGACAGAGGCTGCCTCCCCAGGAAGGCCTCCCATGGAAGCCTGCCTCCCCACCTCCCCGCATCCCTCCCTCTCCTTCCCGCCTCCCTCCCCCCCAGCTCCTCCTTCTCTCTCCCTGCCTCCCTCTTGGCCTGCCCCCTCCCTTCTTCGCCTCCCTCCCTCCCTCCCTCCCTGCCCGTGCGCCCCGCAGCAGGACGCTGCCGCCCCAGCCGCTGATCCACCTGCTGTCGGGCATCATGCGGCCCCACGGGGCGGAGGCGCCCGTGCAGCCCTTCGCCCCCTTCGCCGCGCCCGCACCTCGCCTTGGCCTCCCCCGCCTCCCTCGCCCTCCTTTGCCTCCTCCTTCCTCTTTCCTCCCTCCCCTTGCCTTCTGCCCCCCCCCTCCCCCCCCTCCTCGCCTCGATCTTCGGGAGAGGGCACTCTAATTCGAAGAAGAAGAAACAACGGCATACACACAGACTTTTGGCGCTCCGCGCGGATTTCTTGGATCCGCGCTGGGGCCCCCTGGCGGCGCCTCAGGCGCCGCCCCTGGCGCGCTCCGCGCGCCATGGAGGGGGGTCCAGCGCAGATCAAAGAAATCCTCGTGGAGCGCCGACGGTTTATGTTTATGCCTCCGGCGCCTCCGGCGGGGCCATTGGGGCCTCATTCCTCTCCTCCCCCCTCCCCCATCGTGGGCTTCCGACGGCAGGATTTGCGGTCGCATGCTTTTTCAGGGCGCTCGCGGGCGACTGAGCTGGAACTGGGCGGCCGAGCTCTGGCTGTGCTCGCGCTCTGGTTCGTTCATGCCCTTCTGGGCTGCATGTGGAAGGCACGTGATCTCCTTTCGGTGATGCTCAGCACGGCTGGACTCAGTCAGATCTTGCAGCCTTGTTTTACCTAAATCCACGACTTTGTGGGCCCACCCAGGCCTCACAGGTAATTGCATGTTCGTGATGAGTCGTGGCATGCTGAGAGTGCATTATCGTGGCACGTGTCTGTTCTTTGCAGTCTTGAGCTGATTGATGCGTGCAGCTTTCGACGTAGTCATGGCCCATAATCGTGCTCATGGTCGCGCGTGCTCAAGTGCACCCAACTCCGACGCTATGCTCATGATGCCACAACGCTGCGATCCGCAGTCGTAAGTGCTTTTTGCTGATGAGTGTCCTGTCTCTCCTCCCTCCTCCTTACTTGTCTTTCTCCCTCCTTCTGTCCCTCCTCTTCCCTATCCTTCTCCTCGTCGTCTTCGTCCTTCTCTTCCTCCTCCTCCTCCTCCTCCTAGTTTCCTCGTCTTCCAAGTGTCCACGCAGGGGCCAGCCACCCCGAAAGGCAGTGTAGTCGGCCAGTGTCTTGCTCCTCCTCCTCCTCCTCCTGCTCCTCCTCCTCCTCCTCCTCCTCCTCCTCCTCCTCCTCCTCCTCCTCCTCCTCCTCCTCCCTCTTCCTTTTATGACAGTGAAGGCATGACCCGCAGGTGCAGGATGCTCCTCAACATCATGTCGAGCGAGTTCGCTCGACCGCGCTGGATTTGCTTGAGCGGAGAGGACTTCAGCATGCACCCGAAGAAGCTGGCAAAGTCCAAGATCTCGTAGCACCTCCACGCGGAGGTTATCGTCTCGTCGGAGGCCTCCTGAGCGCCTCCTGGGGCCTCTGGGGGCCTCCTCGGGCCACGCTGCATCCATCTGCGGTCTCCCTGAACGACCGGGTCACGATTTGGAATGCTTCGGGGGCGTCTTGGGGCCATCTTGAGCCGACATGGGGCTCTCTTCGGGCCATCTTGGGGCCCTGTTGGGCCGTTTTGGGACTCTCTTGGACTGTCTGGAAGCCCTTTCGGATAGTTTTGGCGTGGTTTTCGGGCCTCGTGGGCGGTCTCGGACACCTGGAAGACCGAAGAACCGATCATTCCGCAAATCTTGCAGAAACCATCGCCGATCCATGTTTCTTCGAAAGGCCTCTTGGGGGTCCTCGTTTGGGTCGTCTTCGGGCAAACTGGTGGGTGTCTGGGGCCTTTCGTTGGGGCCCTCGGCGGTCCTCCAGATTTGTTTGGGCTCGTTGCTTGGGCCAAGCATGAGTTCCAGGAGCTCCCAGAAGCCCAGGGGACATGCAAGGACGTCCATGGGGCCTCCCAGGGCCAGGGATCCGGGGGGTCCCGTTTTTTTTTGGGGGGGGGTCGCAGGGTCCCAGAGACATGTGGCAAAGGGAATACATGTGTGCATGCACACGTACACACTGTTCTACTGGCAGGAGGTTGCCCAGTGTGGCGCCAGCCTTGTGGTCTTGCGGGTCAGCATCAGCATTTGCGAGGGCCCAGCGCGGCGCAAGTGGGAGGAGGGCCACTCCATCATTGTTCAACTCTTGAGCAGTCTGTCCTTCTTAGCTGCGGATTCGCCGCGTCCTGGCTGAGGGCCTTGATGTTCGCGGCCTGCGCTGCGCGGCGGCGCGCGTTCGTTGACGACCTCGGCGATCGTGGCCGTCCTCTCGCAGAGGCGGATCTGCAGGCTCGCGGCCCCTGCGCTGCAGTACCTGCTGAGCCTTCTCGCGGAGCCTTGCTCGGACATCAGCGGCGCGAGGCCGGCACTCGTGCAGCCAGCGGAAGCCGCGCAGGCCGCTGCATCGCCGACGAGGTGATGCAGGGCGCGGGCTCGAGTTGCGTGGCAAGTGCGGGGGGCCTTGCCTGTCCTGCACCGTGCTGTCTCTTCCTGTGCGTGCTCGGCGCGGGCGCGACGCGTGCTCGACGCGGATCCGGCGCGGATCCAGCGCGGGCTCGACGTGGACGTTCTTTGGATTCGACGCGGTCTCCACGAGTTCGACATGGATCCGCGACGCGACGAGGCAGACGAGGTCCCGAAGGTGCAGCAGCATAGCGGCCTCGGCCGTGGGGCGGTCGATCATAGCTGGCTTCCTCGTCCTGAGCCGGGCGGCCGGCCGCCCGTCAAGGCACACCGCGGGGGCATGCTTCAAACTCTGCCTCCGAGCTGTTCACGCGGCATCTTGAGGCACCTTTCGTCAATGGGCATGTCCGCAGCCAGGGAGAGGCCAGAAGGCTCGGACTGCAAACTGTGTCACGGGATTGACTCTCGACCCGCTCCGTGTGACTGGTCGGCCCTCTAGCGCCCCTCCAGAGGAACGGGGGAGCTGGGTCGCCGTCGCAGGCGTGAGTCCTGCCGCTCTCGGACCACGACCGCCGCAGTGCATCGGCGAGTCACGTGCCGCCCGCCTGGACAGCGAATCGTCTGAGAGCCATCCCGGTGAGGTTGAGCCGCGTCGTGCCCCGACGGCGTCGAGCCTGCCGCCAACGTCGCGCATCCTTCCCCCCTCCCTCCCTTGCGACCTCCTCCTCCTCTCCTCCTCCTCCTCCTCCTCCTCCTCCTCCTCCTACTCCTCCTCCTCCTCCGTAGCCATTTTGGCTCAAGCCCCACGTCACTCCTCGGGGATCTTGCGGGGTGCGAGCAGCCGCACCCGTTTGCGCAAGTGCCCGGCCGCCCGCGGCCCCCGTGCAAATGCGCCCGGCCGCCAGCGCATACACCCGGCTGCTGGCGCTGCTGCCGTTCGCTCGGGCCCGCTTCGAGGACCTGCTGCTCCGTGGGCTGCCGCCGCCATGGCGCCTGCTCCTCCTCCTCCTCCTCCTCCTCCTCCTCCTCCGCCTCCTCCTCTCCTCTTTCTCCTCCTCCTCCTCCTCCTCCTCCTCCTCCCCCTCCTCCTCCTCCTCCTCCTCCTCCTCCTCCTCCTCCTCCTCGGCCCCCGCATCACAGCCGCCGGCCCCGCCCGCTCGGCCAGTCTGGCGCTCCCCGTCGCGTGCCCCGCGGCGCCAGCCCGAGGACGAACCAGGCGGGGCCCCGGGTGCGCAAGGGGTTCCAGAAGCCCGCGCACCCCTCCCAGAGGTCTGGACCCCTTCCCTGGGACCGGTTTCTCGTCCCGAGCCTCTTTTTGACGGCCCCGAGGCCCAGCGAGGGCCTCCAAAGGCCGAAAATAGCGAAAGACCTCCCCGTCGTGATTTCTTCACAACGCGATGGGGTCTGGGTCGTGAGTTTACACTGGTCCTCCTCCTCCTCCTCCTCCTCCTCCTCCTCCTCCTCCTCCTCCTTCTCCTTCTCCGCCTCCTCCGCCTCCCGCCCGCGTCTGCGGGTGCCGCGGGCTCGGGAGGTGGGGCGCCAGCCGCGGCAGCAACTGGTGGCCCGCTTGCTGATGCGGCTCCTGGTGCCCGCCCTTCTGCAGCCCCCGAGCCAATCGGGCCCTCCCTCAGTGACCGGGCCAAGGAGTCAATCGACCGACTTCTGGCCTCCTGTCCCGAGGACATGCGCACTGCCCTGGCGGATATCCTGGGCAGCAACGCGACCCAGCTCGTGACGGCCTGCCGGACCGTCACAGCCGACTTCCACAACAAGATCTCTGGACTCGTCGCCGACCATGCCGCCAAGCTGGACGGCAAAATCGACGAGTTCCGCGACGAGGTCCACGAGTGCCCCGAACGGGTGACGCCACTGCGGCCCAGCAGGAGGTCCTCGCTGACAAGGTCCGCGAAATCGAGGAAACGCTCCGTATCGAGCAACGTGCCGCGGGCGTCACGGACCTCGTGCGCTTGTCCGTGTGGGACCGCGACCCCGAACCAGACTTCTTCACGGTCAACGCCAATGACGATACACGCCCAGGTGAAGTGCAGCGTGCCCTCGGCACCTGGCTGCAGGCCGCGGGACTACAGCCAGAGCGCGTCACCATCCATGGCGCCAGCCCTGGCAGACGATTCCATGTCGGGGTGCACGGCGGCGTCGTCGGCAACACCCGCGCTCTTGCCTTGGCCCTGGCTGGTAAGTTCCCAGGCGGGCGCTGGCGGCAGTTCAGCGCTCCCACCGTGGCAGGACCTGCAGGGCCATCTATACCAACTCTAACCGTTCCCCACGCTCTCAGCGGATGGAGTTCCAGACCAAACGATTGACCTGGACCCTGGAACGCAAGTGCACCCAGCTCGACTTCTGGCCCAATCGTGGCAAGGGCGAGGTCAATGTCGACCGCGTGCCGATCGCCAGGATCATCGTCCCGAAGGTCCGCGTCGAGCCCTCCAAGATCGAGTGGAAGCGGCCGGAGGCGACACGGCTCCGTATCGATTGCGGGCTCATCGACGCGGAGTTCCAGAAATTCTTCCGGGACCTGGGTTCCGACGTGCCGTGGTCCTAGCCGATGCTTGGCCCCTTGGGCGGCCCCAGGCAGCCCGCTGTGACTTGGAAAGCGCACAGCCTATTTTGCTTCTCCCGCGGCAAGCGGAGGCGCAAGCTGGCTGCGCTGCGAGGTTTTGTTTGCAGAAAGGCGCAGTGGTCATGGCCCAGGAGGCCCACAGCGACGCGGAGCAGCTCAGGACATGGCTGTCGGCCCTGCCGTACAGGTACGCATTCTTCTACTCGGGCTGTGCCAACAGCACTCGCGCTGGTGGCCTGGCATTCTTGGTCCCGGACCGGAGGGCATCCTCGTGGGCCCCGTCGAGGACCACTGGATGGACGTGATCGTCCCTGGCCGTGTGGCGGCCCTCCGTATCGCGAAGCACCCGTCCGCGCCCCCGGGAAGGGGTCCGGTGTCTTTCTCATGCTTAATTTCGCCCTCAGCCTCAACTCCGCTGTCTGGCGCCCCCGGAGCAATGCAGCCTGGCTGGAATCGGCCCGCTGCCGTGCCCCCTAGAAACCCTGCCAGTCTCGCCGGCGCGCTCGCTCTCTATACTTCGCCTGCACGCTCTGATTTCTCTGACGGGCCAGAGGGCACCTGTCCTTACACTCTTTCAGCGGCATCTTCGACGTCTTCTTCTAGCCCCCCGGGCTCGAGCTCCATCAAAAATCATCGGCCTCACTGGGCGGCGATGGGTCGGTGACCTCCGCGGGCGGCCTAGGGGCATCTGAAAGTCACAGGGCCAGCTCTTCAGGGATGATGCCGCTTCGTGGCCGCCATCCCGGCGATCCCCAGCCGTCGCGCTGCTGAACGTCCACCGTTGCGGCCTGGCCCCTTCAGATCGGCGCCGCCCAGCCCGGGAAGTGACAGCGTGCCGACTCTGGGCCGCCGCTGCGCCGCGGCTGAGGATGGCGGTGGTCGGCGGCGACCTGAGCTTCGACGACGGCGCTCACTTTGCCCATGCCCTATGCAGACCCGCGGCGGTGCCCGCGCCATGAGGCTCGTCGCGACCAAGCCGCGCCGCGGTACTGGTAGCATTTGCCCGGCTGCCTGCTTCAAATCAAGACCGACCCCCCTAGGCATTTCGACGTGCGTCGGAAAAACAAATGCTTCGACTCTCGACGGGGTGTGAATTCCGCTGCCCCCGGAGGCTGTGCACGGCATCCATTTGCGCGCCCACCTCGCCTCCGAGCCCTCGACACTTTCGGACAGAGGGCTCAGCGACCACGGCGTACTCGTTCTGGAAGTGGGCAGAGCGGCGGCCCCAGGGCGCCAAGATCAGCCTATGCCTGACTGGATCTACGAAGAGCCTCTCTTCGCCTCTGTGTTCGAGAAGGTGATGGCCGCCTCCCGGGCGCCCAATGGCGACCCGATCGCGGCCTGGAAAACCACCGGGGCCAACGTGCCAGTTGCCGCTCGCCTCGCGCGGGGCGTCCGGACCTGGGAGCCGGCATTGAGCAGCTGCGCATCCTGCCCCGACGCGCGCTTGCTTGTCCTCGGCGCATCTGCCCGAGCTCGTTGGCGCGAGGATAGCCGCGTGCTCAGCGTGCTGGTGAACTCGGCGCCAGTGCTGGCGACCTTCTTTTCGGTCACCGTAGCCGGCGTCGCCCTCTCAGACGCTGCGGGTTTCGCAGGGGCGGTTCGCGCAGCTGCATCCTTTCGGAGAGGCAGGGCAGGGCCGTGCGAGCGGCCCAGAGAGCCCAGCTCTGGCGTGCAGATCCTGGCAAGAATTCTCTAGCCCGGGGGCCGCCCTGCCGCGCCCCCCCCCGCGAGCGGCGCTGCCGACGAGCCCGCGGCCCGCGGGGAGATCGGCGTCCCCGCTGGGATGGCTGCTGCCCTGAGTGCTCACTGGGGCCGATCTTCGCGGCCAAGGAGGTCGCTTCCGACGAGATCCACAACTGCCTGCAGCGCCAGTTCCCAAGGCTGCCCGATGCCCAGCTGCCGCTGCCGTAGGTCGAGGACGTGGACGGGGCAGCCCGCCGCGCCCGCCCCGCCGCCCCTGGCCCCGACGGCGTCCCCTATGCGGCGTGGGCCAGGGCCCCAGGCGCTGTCTAGCGACTTAACGCGACCTTGCTCGCCCTCACGGGCGGAGAGACGCCTCCGGAGGGCCTCAATGCATCGTGGCTCCAATTCGCACCGAAAGCCGACGGCGCCCCCTCGGCTGTGCAAGTGGCGCGGGAGCCCGCCAAGACCCGCCCGCTGGCCCTCGAGAGCCCGGGCGCGAAGCTGCTGGCAGCGTCGGCCAATTGGTGCCCATCGGTGGTCGCGGAGCGGCGCGTCCCGAGCACGCAGCACGGCTTCATCCGCGGGCGGAGCTTCCTGGACAACGTCTGGCGCCTGGGCGCCTGGGCAAGGATGGCAACGCTCGGTTCCTCCGAGGGGCGCGCCCGGCGCCGGCCGTGCCTCGTCTACTTCGACGTGTCTGCGGCATTTCCGGGCTCAGCCTGGGGGTGGCTGCTCGCGGCGCTCTGCCAGCTCGGGATCCTCGACTCCTGCGCCCACCTGATCGGGGCGCTCTACGAGGGGCACGATCCGTCGACGCCTCCGTGCTTGGTGGCCTGCCCTGGCGGTCCCCCTTGACCTCCGCCGGAGGTGGCTGCGTCTCAAAGCCCAGCTGGCCGTCGCCGCCCCAGGCACTTGCTGGGCGACCGTCCGCACTCTCGCAGGCGCGTGGCCCACTTCGTACCGCGTGCCCAGTGGGACATCCCCGACTGCCGTGCCGGTGGCAATGCGAGGACGGCACTGACCATATATCACACCACTTGGAGTGCCGCGGAGCCTGGTGGTGCACGCGTGTGGCCTCGCGCACCATTTGCATCGTCTCGGGTTGGGCACGCAGGAGGACTGCGACGCAGACCCGCAGGGCGAAAACGGATCGCTCGGCTGGCCACGCTGTGTCACGCCTGCAACCCTGCTTCGACGCTGTCCAGGGCCGCTGCAGCCGGGCCCTGTGGTGGCAGAGGCCCTGGCGCGCGCCTCCGCGT